CTTTCTATAATATTTTAAAAGCAGAATTGTACTTTATGTAAAATCTCAATTAAATATTCAATAAAAATAAAGGCATGGCCTCACCATTAATATTAAAAAAAAAAAAAAAAAAAAACTATGTAGCAATCTATTAATTTATATATAATTTATGATCTATTTTAAATCCATTTCATTATCTGATTTTAAATCACTAGACTCTATCTATTCATTTTTATTATTAATCTTGACAAAATTATGGTTATGTAGTTCTTTTTTATATCTGTGATCATCACAAAATTGGCAAATAGTTGACAAAATATAGTTCTTATTTTCATGCTTATTATGCCATCAGTGATTATAATCCTTGCTACCACATTTACTACATGTATTTGTTTTATAACTACAAGTTAATTCAGACTGTTTCCCTTTATTTCTTAATGGTTGTCTCTCTAATAATGATTGATTACATGTTGTTTTTGGTGATCGACCTTTTCTAACCTTTTTAATAGGATTAGAAACTCTAGTAAATGAGGCTTCAATAATATCATACTTGAAATATTCATTAAACATATTTGCCTTTTGGTCAAAGTAAGATATACTAGTTGTATTTTCAACAAGTGAATGTCTTTTTTTAGTAATATATTCTTTTAAAAACCTAAGAACATTTGGGTCATTTATCTCAATAGCAATATTAATTGCTTTACATATAATTCTAATAGTTTCTGTATAAATTTTCTTTTTTTCTATTACTTTTTTAGCAGTATAAGATGATGAATGAGCCATAGTTGACTGTGAAGTTAGAAATAAATTCGTAGAGCTATTAGTCCATAATATAGTAGTTGGAGTTGATAGTTCTTCTAATGGTTCAGACAAAAAAACAGTAGACAAATTGACAAGAAGTTGTGTGCCAAGGTTTTTGTCTTGATATTATTCATATAGCCAATGACTTGCTACAAAATTAATAGAAAATTTTGCAGCAAAAGAAAATGCCATAACTCTAAAAAATATTTACAAGGATATTCACAGTTTGTTAATAACAAACAACTACATATAAATGAACCATCCTTTAACAAAAATACATAAAGTTAAGAATTCTTCTAAATCATATGTATTATTTTTCAAACCTTAATTAATTGTTCTTCAACTTGCTTAAAAAGTACAGAAAAATGTGCTAATAGATAATCAAATGCATTGTTAATAAATATTATATCATTATCTTTTTGTGGCTACAAAAAATTAAAATAATAGAAATAATATAGTTAACAATCACTACTAATAGCCAGTTTATACTAGATTATATTATTTTGCTTATAAAATAATTGTTTGAATTTGTAAGAAACAAATATTAATATAGATCATAATTATTTATCTGATATGAATTTAGAGATTCTGGATTAATTTTAGTTGAATGATAAAACAAATTTTCTTAATTAAATTAGGTGCCACAAATGTTTTAAGGATAGAATTAACATTTTAATACATAGTATCACAAACATTTGGTAGCTTAATACAAGGATTTGATAATTTTCAACTAATAAAATCATAATAATATTTTTAACTTGATATTAATGAATCAAGTGAATTAATTAACTCATACAAAGTTATATAACCATAACATATAATATCTTTAACTTGTGAATTAATTGACTCAACACAGCTAATAGCCTGTGCACCAGTAGTAAAGTGACAAAAAGTATATATTTTTGCCCAACTTTGCTTATCAGGATATAGGGTTTTATTAAGATATAATGCTGCTTTTGGATACTAATCTAATAAAGACTTAAAACTATTTTCAAAAGATTGTTGATTTAATATATTACAAGCTTTGTAAAAGTCTTTAATAAAAGAATCTTAATCAGATCCTAATTTGCCTTTAAGATTTTTTTGTAAATTTTGGCTAATATGCCAAATACAATAAAGATGCTAAGTTGAGTATAAAATTGTTAAAATAGCAAGAGCTATAGCAGGGTTAGCATTCATTAAAATAGTATTTGGATAGAGTCTATCTGTAGCTTTAACTAAAACCTCAAGTAACTAGGAATATGACTCAGTTGTTTCATCATCTAATACTGCTTGTGCAATAAGATGAGATTGATAGGTGTTATTAATAGCAATAAAAAGTGATAGTGGCATATTATAAATATTCATCTTTATTGTATTATCGTGAATAATAATATTATTATAACACATCCAAAGGTTAAGTTGATCAGAAGACATCCAAAAAAGATGTGTTAATGCATTAGTATTAGGATCAAAACACCACTCAATGACCCATCTTGAATCTTCTACTTTTTTTTAAATAGGTTTAACAATAATTGTAATGTATTATCATTTATATAAGAATCAATTTTTTTAAACTTTGAAATAGCATTATACAAATTGCAATGATGAATTTGAGCTTTATACTTTTCAGAAAGAAGCTAATATTGTGTGCTTGCATTAAGCTTTTCAACTATCATATAGTATTTAATATCTGCCAACATCTTATCAGTAAGTTTACGATTTTTTAGAATAAATTTTATAGTACTTGGATCTGGTGTATAGCCAGTATGAACATCTGCAAAGGTGAATATATGATATTTACTTAAATGCTTACTCCAGTATATATTAACTTTCTATCTACAATCAGTTTTATATGAACCAGACTCCTTAATTTTATGTGATTTTTTTTCATTTAATGGTTTTTTAGCATAGAAATGTTCTTGAAATTTTATGACTATTATTTGGATCTTTCTCAACATGTCTTTTTCTAATTCCAAACCTATTTGAATTTGCAAATGCCTCAACTACTGAATATGCTTTTTCAACTATCTGAAAAATTTGTCCTGAAAACATAAAGATTTTAAAAATTATTTTTATTTAATTCTTAAAATCATTATAAAGGATTATATACCTTCATAAAGTTCTACTTGTTCATCAAATTCATTATCTGATTGTTCATCAAACCTATTTTTTAAATATTCATCAGGCTTATTATTAAAATATTTATCAGGCTTATTATCAAAACATTCATTAGACTTATCATTAATATAGTCAATTTCAGCAATAAAACTTGTAGAACTTGTAGGTTGATAATATGAACTCTTAATTTGGAACATTGATAAATAACTATAGGTGTTGTCATATTAGGCAAAAAAATTAGTGCTTTTGGCTTCTAATTATAAAAGTAATATGTAGTATTACAAATTATAATAATAAAATAAATGATAGTTCCAAATACAATAACAGTGTCTCTATTTTTTTTTTACTAAAAATTATATTTAAACATAAATAATAGTAAATAAGTAAAGAAAATTATGATTAATATATAACATTTGCAATTACAAAATACTAGTAAAGTCTATATTTAATATTTAAAATAATGTGTTTGATAAGTTCTACTTTTATTACTTAATTAGGTTTATGAAAAAAGCTAAAATATCATTTTATACTTTTGCAAATAATTTGTGTAAACACAATTATTACACCAAAGTAAAAGAAAGTATTCTGATCATACTTCTATATTTATTAAATTTTTTAGATACAATTGTATTATTACTGTATTAAGTAAACAATGCAACTGATAAAATATACTCCACATTAATAAAATTTTTACCAACAATTTAGTTCTGCACATAATAATAACAAGAAGAACATGTAAGGAACATTATACTAGAATTTACTAATTACCAAGGTTACACAATACCTATTGGTTAATCGAACCCTGCATATGGTGCAGGGTGCATCAAAAATAATTATCCTAAATATATAATATATGTTATTAATTAAATATATATTTTTTTAAATATATGTAGTTATAAAAGATAATTATATTTTTTAAACAATATAGCATATTTGTTTTAGATAATGTAATTATATATAAAAATCAATATTTGCAAGATATTTGTAATGAAAAAAGAATTATACTAAAATTTTTATCTGCTTATTCATCAGGAATACATAGTACCTTTCTAGTCAAATTGATAAAATTTGGGTTTTACAACAAATTTCACATATATTTACATTCATAATATTATTAATCTAATCAGAATTACAAATAGTGATTACTATATTATTTATACTAATTTCTAATTACAAATCAAACCAGCTAAATAACACAAAATATATAAATATAAAACATTTAAATATGATTCTATTACCACTGAGCTATGAAAACAATTTTAGCAAAAAAGGCATTAACTTTCATTCTCTTTTACTAAAATGGCAGTTTTTGTGTTTATAACAAATTAACTCTAATATCAAATTCAATCTACAGTGCTTACTGCAGCAAACACACATATACCTTTTACTTTTTTATTTTTGAAAACAATTTCAAAACTTCTTACCTACTTTAAAACACATTCTGTACTAAATATTTGTGGCAGCATACTTTATACTCTTATCAACTTTCAACATCCTTTTTATAATAGTAACTTAACCAATATTGCAACAATTAATACTATAAATCAAAAAATACAAACTATATAACTTCTTACAAACTTATTTATTATACCTCTTACTATAACCAATATTAATCCTAATCAACTTATTATTATTATTAATACAATAAAAAATTATCACAAAACACTATATCATACTTGTGATTCAAAAACATACAAGAATTTTGTAACAAATTATACATATATTTAAACAGATTACAACAATTTTACTTCAAATACAACAACTATGATTAACAGTATAATTAATCACCACACAAATCTTATACTATTCAATAATATAAAACTTCAGAACTTTATAATTACAGAGCCAAAAGAAATTCATTAATATATCAAAAACCACTTTACAAACTGGACTAAACATAACTTACATAATTCAGCTCTCTGGGAACAATATAAAAACAGATATATTCTCAAAATCAATATATTTCCCTTATGGTATAATACACTAACTAACCCTATAATTCAACAAGAAATAATTAGTATAACTTATTACTAAACAAAAAAGCAACAGACCTACACTTATTTCCAATAAAATGCTCAAACATGCCTATCCATATATTATTAAACTTCTTACAATCCTGTTTAACAAATATTTAAATACTACAAAAATACTAACTGCTTAGAAACAAAGCAAAATACAATATATCCAATATTCAAAAAACCCATCTTTACTAGTTAACTTAATTACATCAAACCTATAACTCTTTTTAAACATATATAAAAATCTTTACTAAAATTATTGCTAACAGACTTATTAAAATAATGTTTAAATATTCTATTCTTAATCTATATAAATTTGTTGCTCTACTATACTTATCTACTATACAACTCATCCAAATTATTACAAACATACTTCAAAAAACAAAAACACAAAACAAAGAAATCTGGTTTTTTTCTTAGGACATAAGCAAGCTATACATATTTCATTTCTGTAACATGCACTTCACAAATAAAATTTCCCAAAACATATCACACTTATAGTCAATATTTATAATAACTGATATAATTCAGTTATTACAAATTTTGGTCCTACATTTAGCTATCAAGTGCAAGATAGCATAAACCAAGAAGAAACAATTATACTATTGCTCTGGCATATCTATTTTGATCTATTAATAACTTATATTTATTCCAAATTTCATGACTATGGTATATCACAATATCTACTTAGACTAAATACCTATTTATATAGTATACCTTAGTACTTAACTATATGAATAACACCTTATAGCTAGCTTCTGACAAACAAACCTTTTAACAAATAATAAAATTAACTGAATCCTTTTACAACATGATCAATATTACTGTTAATCCTATCAAATCAATCTTAGCAACAAATTAAACCAAAGATCCAAACTCTATAATCAACTTTGCTAATACAACTATATATACTATATCTCTAAAACATACTTTTTATTATCTTGGTTGCTAGTTCACACTTCTGAATTACTATAAGCACATCTATAACCAAATTACTACTGAAGCTACTAATCTTATCAATACTATAAAAATTAAAAAGATTACTAAAAAACAAACAATCTATATAATTAATATAGTACTTGTATTTTATTTTTCTTACAGGACTATAAACACATTTATACACTAATTTACAATACAAGAAATAACTAATTCTTATATGCAAGTTGCAAAACACAAAGCTGGACTCACTTTAATTATACTAAACTCAACTATACTTTATTATTAAATCTACAACCTTTGTAATTTATTAGATATACAAATACAAAATCACAATTTATTATTTCACATACAATTAAACAATCTTTTAATAGTTCCATTTATTAAAATTATAATATAACATCTTCAAAATATTACACTTTTATTTAACAATATTCTGCTTTTATCTAATTACATATTATCTATCAAGTTCTATAATACACTTACAGTCCAAACAATCAAAACAGCATATTAGCTCAATATTCAGATTTGTAACCTTTCTAATTTCTAGTCTGTACCAACTATTTACAAAGGCATCCTAATTGATATACTGATCAAATTTTGCAACAAACCAATACATATCAAATTACTAATTAATAAAGTGAATATATATGTTATTTAACAACTTACTAACTACACAAATACACAACTATTTTTATGGCTATGTATCATATATAAAACATTTTAAATACCTAGAAATAGAATTTCAAAATAGTTTTATAAACTATACAATATATTCTACATATCCACAACTTCATTTATCTCTACTATTACTCCCAATCCATTTACTACAAACTCTATAATATTAATAAGAAGTATATAGATTCTTGGAAAAATTAACAATATTTGAATTATAGAAAAAATCCAAAAAATTACTAATTCAAATAACATAATATATATCGAACACTATTATTTACTACCACCAGAGCTTCAATATATAGCCTTATTCTCAAAATATTTAAATTGCAAACATACTTGTATTGCTGCTAGTTAGCAATATATAATTATACTTAAAATATCTTAATACACTGTCATTAAAATATCTAGCTCAAAATTTTTTTATATAAACATCAATAATCTAACACAACATTATTTATATTTTGTTAAACAAAAACTATTATATCAATCAAACAAATTACTAACATCATACTTAAATGTTAGCTTAACATTACAATATAATTCTCATCTACCAACTATATCAGCCTCATCAAACAACTTTTTACATTAACTATTTATACCAAATACTGCTAGTACATAGTTGCTACATCTTACAACAATTAATTTTGAAATAAAAAACTTCAACTATATTTTCATATAACTATAACTTAGCCAAACATTCTATACTTACAGGCTCAATTTGTTTGGACTCTAGTACCAATCAACATCACATTTTCTTCTTAATTTATATACTGGCCTTCTATCACTCAAGTACACCTTATTGGTATTATAACAATACTGAATACTGCTTCACAACACTGTCAAATAACTGTTTTGATGGCCCACAAACCCATAATTAATTATATTAACTCATTTTTTATATTAATACTAAATTATATTTTTAGTTTACAAAAATACAACCACTGGTCACTTAAACTTTTAATTTTGATAATAATTGTTTACAAATATTTTAAAATTAAATGTTTCTATATTGAAGACTCTGATAACCATCTCCTTTACAATAGAACAACTCATATTTCTACCAAAATATAATAATATAAACTTTACATTCTTTCTTATACTCTTAACAACAACAACTTTTATCTTATTTGAAATAAAACACCAATAAAAATAAAACTCACTACTTTATTTGACATTTATAAAATGCAATAAACATTGCAAAATAATATGTTTTAAACAGGATTAATCATTGGAACATTATATGCTAAAGTACTAATTAGGATCTAACATATCAATTCATTAACTACAACAACAAATCTAATACTCATAACACTCATCTGAAACATTTTTAATTAAAAGGCTTCAAAGTCAAGTTCCTATTAAATAAGTTACCTATACTTCTAAACCTATACTATAAAAACTCTAAAACATATACTAATCCTATCTGCAATTGCTACACATTACATATAGAAGACAATTTATATTGACTAGAATGCACAAAAAACTCTATTTCTCTTAATCAGCTAATTTAACAAACTATATACAAGTTTTATACAAAACATAAACTTGAAAACAATAATATATTT